CTCACAGTAATCAGGGACAATTTGCTAAAGCTGTGTGGTACGACAGGTTGATAAAGGTTAGGACCGAGTCACGATCGCAACCGGATTCTGTTTCTGGCATTCTTGTGCACTTTGTCGGCCGAATATGATGGATTATCGTTATTAAAAGTATATTTAAATAATGATGATAGAAACATCAGATCAATAGATAAAATGGGAAAGATAAGGATTTGTTGAAGGAGGTATAGGAAGAGGAAATATTCCTTTTGTATACGTCTCCTCATCCAGTTGTGGCATCCCTATTTCGGTGAATTTCAGTGGCAGATTACTCGTTTGCCACCTTATTGTATTAAAAAAAATCGAATTAAAACAATTCAGTTAGGAGTGTTTGCTCTACAACATAATTACCGTCTTTCGTCTTCTCTAGAGATCGTACTTTTACTGTAACGGCACCTTTCCTACGTTCATTTGTCGCTATTTGAAGAATTCTCCTTAGATTCTTTATTATGTGATCTGGTTTGTCATGGGAAAGGAGTAAAAAAACGGAAACATTTATCTGTTTGTCGCAATGTTACGATAATTACTGACAACGACACTTGTAAAGTTTTTTATGTTGCGCATACTTTTATTATGTTAGACTCTTGACTGGTTTAACTTTTTCTGCAGTTCTAATAAATTTTTAGATATTAGACCATAGAATTTTTAATCATATATTACAAGGAACGATCTTTGATTACTATCTTTGCGATATTAAAATTGTAATAAGCGGTCTAGCAATTTGAGCCCTTTTCGCTTGAGTAAATGCAACGGCTTCGTGTGCCGGCGGCATCTAGTCATGCCCTTGTGACTTTAATAGGAACCGAAGAGGTTAGGCGATCTACAGACTTAATGGTTAAGATTCCAAATTTGATTAGTTAAGATAATTTTATTTTATTTAAGTATCTAAATTTATCAATTTTAGAATATTGCATCGGAACTGAAGCGTTTATAAATGCAGACGAAACTCCCCGTATGCGAGCAGCTTATTTAATATTTATGACGTACTCACCGCAGAACTGGTCAAGCTTGTCCATTAACAACAGCATAGATATTTGATGGTATTAATTTCTCAGGGTTTCTAGGCACAGATGCCGGCGAAAGCACTAATGATAGACTACAGCTTACGTAGGAAATGCTCCGTAGAAAGCTGATTCGTAGTTTCTCAGTTTCTGAGCCTATAAAATGTTTAATGCAAATTGAAGCTCAGTGCGGAGCTTTATGTCTATTGTAGAATTACGATCGCCTCGTTTGAAATTACCTTGTTAAGTGGAATTGCGTACATTGGTCGTGTGAAGGAATAGACTTTGACGGATTCGATTCTAAATGAAAACAATTTCTTCATTTTTTGTTTGAAACTTCTTCATATTTGTCGCTTTCTTTGTGTTTAAAATTTATAGATAAATATTTACTCTGTCTATTGATGTATTTATATTCCATTGTATTATTTTTATACCACGAGTTTCTATTTCGCAAACACCTGAACATATAAATTCACCAGTCTCATTCTCATAGTAACTAAACCGTGGGTTTCTGAGACCAAAATCCTGTTTTAAAACCTATTTTTATCAATGTTTTGTCAAAGATAATGACAGAGATTTTGGTTTCAGAAACCAACGGTAACAGTGATAACTCACGAATAGATTAACAACTAAACCGGGACCGTAATCCAACCAATTTTCTTGGTTATTATGACAATTCTTAGGAGACATATTTTCTTGTATAATATTTTTCCTACATTCATAGAACTATATACATATGTGAGATAATTACATCAATTATACGCTAAGTGAGTGTCTAATATGCGGTCAGTTAGCGAGAAATCCCCTGAGTTATGTGACGCGCGAGGTCACTCCTAGACCTACGTTATACGACTACACAGTTTTATTTACTACCTACGAGTATCTATCGTCCGCGACTCCGTCCTTGCATAATTAAAAAAAAAACTTAATGAGTAGCCTATGTGTTGTTCTATATGTTCTACATCTATGTCAAATTTTACCGCGATCTATGCAGCCGTTCTGGAGATATCTTCAAACAAACATACATCCATCTAATTCGCCTTTATAATATAATATACTAGCGGTCGCCCGGGACTCTGTCCGCGCGGAATTGAAAACAAAACTTAATTGCCTATGTGTTCTTCCAGACCAGTGGTTCCCAAACTTATTTTGTCTACTGGCCACTTTGAGAATAAAGATTTTTTAGTGCCCCCATATTTTCACATATTTAAAAACTACTATAACTTCAAATTAAATTAATTAATTATTGTGACCTATATATGTATATTAACGGACAATTCTAAACGAAACTTTTACTATAACCCGCAACTTGTCCTGCAGCGCCCACAAGGAGGCATAATCGCCCACTTTGGGAAAGACTGGTCTAGACTATGTTCTATATATATGTCAAATTTCATCGTGATCCGTTCAACCGTTTTGGAGATACCTTCAAACAATCATCCATGTAAACATTCGCATTTATAATATAAGTAAAATTGGTTAACCAACTGTGGTTACGGACTGTTTAATATTTGTAAAATGTTACGAAAATGGTTACCCATTTTATATTTGTTACATTCGTTTAACATCAAAGTGATCTAAAGCGTGTTTATCTTAAATCGATTTTATGCAGGCATGCGTTGTGGTTAAAATCACATGTTACTCATTCGATTTAACCGACTTTAAATTATGAGGTTAACACACAAGAACATACTTATGGAACTGAGTTTCTCACTTTTTTGTATTCAGTTAAAATGAGTTTGAGTCTGTATGTTTTTTACGATAACAAATAATGAATTTAATAAAGTTTATATATAACATATATGGCAACAAAATAGGTTAAAATCGACTATACTTGGGTTTTCGAGACCAAAATCCTCCTTTAAAATATTCTGTTATTTATGTTTTGTTATAGACAATATGTTTTATACAAAGATTTTGGTCTCAGAAATCCACGGTAAGTTTGTCGTTTGTATACATTTAGTTTGCGTTTTCTCTTTTTATTAATCGACAGTTTTGGTACTTTTTGTAAAATATTTGATGAATATAATTTAACATGCAAATATTTATCAATATTTGATTTCTAGAGATGAGTGTTTGTACGTTTGTCAATACTTCTTCCGCACTTAGGTTTACTTCTCTGCGTTATATTTACTCGAGTATTATGTAATAATTTACCTATGGATATCTTGACATTTTGGTTGTACTTCCTCTTTAAATTATGACTTCAATTCTTTGGGACATTTATAAATGAATAACATTTTTACATGGTCGTCAAATACTTAATTTTATTAATATGAAAATATGTAATAAATCTGTCTCTCTGTATGGATTAAGAATAAGACTTAATTAGTAGCCTATGTGTTCTACCAGACTATGTTCTCTAAGCCAAATTTCAGAAAGACCCATGCAACTGTTATGGATACCTTATAACATCCATCCATATATACAAACGTTTGCATTTATAATATAAGTAACATGTCTTGTTGCATCAATGTAGTAAAGAACGCGCGAGATAACGCGGAAGCGTCGACTACATTCCGGGTTCCAATGACGTGATGCTTACTAAAAGCATAGCGGCAAGAGTTACAATATTTTTTTGTGTGTCTTTTCGATTTTACACCATCACGATTGAATATTGTATTCTGAATATGTTTAAATCCATGCCAAAGTACGATTTCTCTTTCAGTTGAAAGTACCATAAAGTATTGTCGAGTTGTTTAGAAGGCTTCTTTGGCCCTTGTCCAATGCTTTCTCTGCGTCTTAGTGCTCGGATCTTAAACTGCTATTGGTTTTAATACAACTTCGTTATTCTTCCATATAAAGCTTGGCGTTCAATGAACACGTTTCTTTGTCATGTATTGATTTCTAATAAAGACAATAAGGACAAATGAGCGTCGGTGGCACAGGCGTCAAGCACTTGACTTGCAATCTGCAGGTCCTGGGTTCGAGTCCCGCCATGTACCAATGTGTTTTTCGATTACCGATTTACATATGTACATTTATATGACGTTCTTACGGCGAAGGAAAACATCGTGATGCAACCTGCACATATCTGAGAAATTTAAAGATATGCGTGAAGTCAACCAAGCCGCACTTGGCCGGCGTGGTTGACTATGGCCTAATCACCCTTAACTTAGAGTAGGCTCCGAGCGCCTCGGTGGGGACGTATAGTGAGCTGATGATAAAGAACAATTGGTTAATTGTTAGATATATGTTTTTATCAATGACAGTGTGTTTTTCTTGTCTTGTTCCAACTGTCAATATGTTTTTATCTAAATATTTAGCGTGAAAACTTATGTTATAAATGTTTATGTATGCAATATGTCACTGTAATTCCTTTCACCTTGTTCCAATAAGTTTCTTCGTGTCCGCATTTCTTACCATTTCCGATTTTGTTTTGACACACGTAATTAAAGCGTGATCGTTCAACGCCTTATTTGATGAACGCACAGTTTACGTGGTTTTTAGGAATGGAATTTTTACAAGTGACTTTTTATTAGATTTAGTCGACGTTTCAAACGAATTTACATTCCAATTTCGTAGATTTTGTTGAGAATTTAGATTAAATGCTATCAAGGACTTTTTATTCGGGTTAAGGCGCACCAGAAAGTAAATTAATAAACTGGTTGAGGTTTTTTTAATTGATGTCTTTTTAACTGCGATTTATCTAGTAGTTATGTAATTAGACTTTAAACTGTAATTATGATCATAGTATTAAAGAATTTAGAGGTTTTATTTGGTTTACATAATGTATAAACATTTACCTACTATAGAAAAAAACTTAGGTAATAGATACGACAGATTACGAAATTAAAAACAATACTATCCTTATTTAAATCATTTGCGTATAATATTATTAAAGTATGCTTAAAATTGCACACGATTAAAAGCAACGGCCGTCTGATAAAGCTAAAACAATGTACTACAGCTAGGTAATAGTGCATATGTGTTTGTATGATAATGAATCTATTGGTCTATTAGGAGGAGCTTGACCTGACAGCAGTGAACAAGGCGGCCATGATGGAGTTGCCAGCGGCCAAGAAGTGGCAGATTTACTGCAGCAGACGCCCGCCCATCGGCTCACAGCCGCTCGCCAGCGCGCCCCAAGTCGAGGAGTACGTTAAGGCGCTGGGAGAGATCGCAGAAGTAAGTAACTCGTCTGTCGCATATAGAAGCTAAAGTAACTAGGCTAGTGATAAAATTAGCAAAGTAAATGATCGAATTGACATTATTCAGCAAGAGAAAAGACCGTAATGTGATTAGGGTCTTTAAAAAAGGGCATTTAATTTGGCCGTAAATGTATCTTTTTGTCCTCTTTTGATTAAGATTTGACAGAGAAATATCTGTTTATAATCAAAAATATGAATTCCGTTAAAATAAACGGCGATAGACACATTAATTTGTGAATAAAGAATAAAAAGTTGTTTTGTGAAGACATAGAAAAGTATGCTGACTAAGGACAGATAAATTTACAATTGAAAAGAGTTCTTTTCTGATGAATAAATGTAATTTTCTTCCAGGCATTCGCTTCTTCGGAAGGCGGTCTCCCAGCGGAAGCGTGCGCGTTAGTGGACGGCTTGAAGACCGCTCTAAGAACTCGCGCACATAGCTTCGTGTTACGGTTCATCAAACAAGGAGGCCTCACCACATTACTGGAAGCGCTACAACGAGCGCCAAGAGACGAAGCGATCATCAGACATAATCTTATCGCCGGGATAAAGGCTCTTATGAACAACTCGGTAAGTTTAATTTTAAATAATTCTTGGTGGAGGATACGAAATTATAGCACTGAGAGCTTTTTATTTTAGTGAATAGTTAAATACTAGTAGATTTTGCCCAACCTTGTACTTAAAATAGGCCTTTTTATCTACGAGGTAGTATTTTACAAAAGTATGGGACATGGGTAATAGTAAGTCTTACTTTCTATCGACTATCCGCTTGTTCAAGTATCAAGTATATTTCAGACCGGCCGCGCTCATGTGCTGGCCCACCCAGCGAGTATTGACCTCATCGCACAGTCCTTGGATACGGAGAACGTCAAGACAAAGGTCGCGGCTCTAGAGATACTGGGTGCCGTCTGTCTCGTACCCGGCGGACATAAGAAGGTAAGAGTAAACTAATGTATTATAAGCCTTGTATCAAGGGGCTAAGGAAGTAGTTCTCTTGGTAGATAAAATAAATGCAAGCACCTGTAATAATTTAATAGCAACTTATCATAGTACACCTACAACAATTTAATACAGTAAGCACCTGTAAAAATAAAATAGCAATATTGCACAATTGATTTTTTAACTTGAATTTAAATATTGATTAAAAATTAGTGATGTTTTCTTCTCAAGACAAATATTTTTCCGTGTAAAAGTATAACTGTTTGTTGCAACTAGAACATTTTTTTTATTTCAGGTGCTAGAAGCTATGGTGAACTACCAGAAGTATGCAGGCGAGCGCGCCAGGTTCCAAGGCGTCGTAAATGAGCTGGACCGCAGCTCGGGCGCGTACCGTGACGACCTCGGTCTCAAGACTGCCATCATGTCATTTGTTAACGCTGTACTGAACTACGGCCCCGGTGAAGACAGCCTGGAGTTTCGGCTGCATCTGCGATACGAACTGCTCATGTTGGGGATACAACCAGGTGAGTTCTTAACCTGAATTTAGTCTCGTTTCCCATTTCTTATAAGGAACGAATTTGACGGAAGAGGGGACGCATAGGTAGGGGAAATAATCTCATTTCGTGCGTTGTCTCCCCGTTGATTGAATGTAGGCAACTCAACTGCAATTGCGAATGTCTATTGACAGCGATGGATTCGCATTCGTTTTGGTAAATAAGAACAATAAAATGTTTGAATTTAGTATTGCATTACCATTTTTAAAACTTTGTCATCAGATTTAAATTTACATATTTTTATGCAGTAATCGAAAAACTTCGTAAATACGAGAACGAAACCCTCGACCGTCACATCGAGTTCTTCGAGATGGTCCGCAACGAGGATGAGCGCGAGCTGGCGCGACGCTTCGACAAACAGCACGTGGACACCAAGAGCGCGGCCGCCATGTTCGAGCTGCTGCGTCGCAAACTGAGCCACACTGCTGCATATCCTCATCTCTTGTCTCTGCTGCAGCATCTCCTGCTGCTGCCGTGTAAGTAACACACCGCTACATTGACACAAGGTCACACATCACATCACACAGCAACTACAAGACCACTCTACCGTAAGTGGGCTGGCTAAAAGACATAGTATTTTGTGCCTATTTGATTTTCACTGATTGTAGTAGTTTCAAGCGGTGGTGTGGAGTCGAAATAATAATATAGATAGAATTAATGGTCACATAACATTCTGCACGTGACGGAACGAAGCAAAGCTATCTTTTTTAAGCAATCGCCTATCCATTTATGAAGATAAGTGAATCGGCTACCATATGGCCTCTTACCCGAACCTGTTGCTCATATTGTTATAAATGGGTAAATATGAGGATGACTGGTATATATGTGTGTTGTACTTGCAGTGGAGTACAACCCTCACTCACAGCACTGGCTGCTGCTGGACCGCGTTGTGCAGCAGCTGGTGCTGCAGCAGGCCGCAGCCGGCAGCCGCGCCGCCAGCGAACAGGGCTCTCTTAAAGACGACGCCTCCGAACACAATAAGGTACCTTTACCTAGACTTTCATCATCATCAACCTGCCTTTGTCCTTATAGAGGGTCGGCACAGTACTACTCATCCATACTATGAGCTGTCATATCTAAATCCACCCCCTTCTTACGCATATCCTCTTTCACACAATCCGTCCATTCTTTCTTTGTTTTTCCTCTTTGTAGCCATCCACATTCAATCTCATTACTTTTTTGTTCATGTTATTATCTTTTCATATTACGATATATCTTTTTATATAACTTATGTAATGTGTATACATTATTGTTTAAAGGTCTACGACCCAGACATGGCTCCTTTGGAAATAAACGTCGGCGAAATAGTTCATCTTCTAGCTAAAGAAGAAGAATTGGTCGCTGCTAGAACGAAAGCGGAGAATCTAGAAAGAGAGAACGTAGATCTTGCTACAGAACTGGCTAAAAAGGTAAGATATATTATTAGACTTGATTTAAAAGGTGTTGGATAGTAACTTTGTGAAGGCGAAGACGTTTAATAAACAAAGAAGCTTTTAAAAACCTTTAATGATTTTAATATTTATATATGTTTTTTATTTGGATATGGTGATACTGATGAAAACATTCACTTTTCCATTCTCATATTGCATAACTAATAAAGAATTAAATTATTTCAACTTGCTTTTAAAATTATTGAACCAGGACATCAAAATAAAGCTGTCTATTTCCCTTTACGTAGACTAAAATAACAATAAAATAATTTGTAAAGCAGTTTACAAATATCATAAATTAACAACCAGCCAACATTTATACGGTGAAGGAAACATCGTGATGCACATATCTAAAAAGATATTCAAAGATATATGTGCAGTTAACCTGCACTAAGCCAGCGTTGACTGTGGCCTAGTCACCTAACTTAGGGTAGGCTCCGATCCCCTCAGAGGGGATATTGAGCTGATGACGAACATTACCTCAACTGAAACCTATAATACATAGACATATGCAACTCCACGTAACGTAACCGCCCCATGCGCATGACTAACCAACAGGAGAAGCAAGTGGACGAGCGCTCGCAGGAGAAGGAAGAGTTGGAGGGAGTCGTGCAGAGGATGAAGGAGCGCCTCGAGAGGGAGACGGCCGCGCATATGGAGTGGACAGAGAGAGCGCAACAGCTCGAACAGCAGGTAGGAGAGAGATAGCGAGAAAGAGGATGAGAGAGACGGAAAAATTCTGATATGAAATGGGATACTTAATACAAGTTAATTAAAAATTCAATTTTCTATGTCATAAGTTAACTAACTCTTAATAAGGTTTGATTCATGTACCTTCCAGTTGAGTCACGAGCGAGCTGAGCGCGCCCGATTTGAGAAGCTAGTCAGCGAGGGCAGCATACCTGATGATGCCAAGGTATTTGGAATATTTAGTACTGAACTTGGGGGTCGTATGTTTTGAGGGTGGGAGGATGTCGTCATGTCTTTTTCTTGTAAAATTTGTGACAGCACATTTGGTTGGAGAGGTGTTACAATTGTGACCAGCTATGACAAGGATGGGGGAGATGTTAAAAAACATAATTCAATTTTTCATGAATTTCATGATTTTTGACTCCTCCTAGTCACATAATTATGGATGGCCTCTTATACTAGAGGCCATCCATATATATAAAAGCTACTAAGTTTTCAAATACAGATTTTGAGGAAATATCAAAAAAGTATGTCGACATCACAGGGCACCGAAGAGCTGGCAGCTACCACGGACAAAGAATTAGTTTAGTTATTCAAAGGAGGACCACTGCCAGTATTTTCGGAACATTGCCTAAAGGGACTCCTTTAAATAATATATTTTAGTTAATTAATCATTTATAATGATTTAATAAAGATTTAACATTCAATTATCTATATTATTCCAGGTGAGTAACCTGAAGAGTGCAGTGATAGAGTCGTGTGGTGCGCCCCCGCCGCCCC